ACATAAACAAAAAAGAAAAAAGCCGGAAGTGGTGCTATGGCTCAAGTGGTAGAGCACTAGCCTTGAGCTGAAGAGCTGAGGGACAGCGCCCAGGCCCAGAGTTCAGGCCCCACAACTGGGCCCACAAAAAAAAAAAGTATTATTCCAGGGCTGGGAAGGTGGCTCAGTGGTAGAGTGCTTGCCTTGCATGCCAGAGGCCCTGGGTTCGATTCCTCAGCACCACATAAGCAAAAAGAAAAAAGCCGGAAGTGGTGCTGTGGTTCAAGTGGTAGAGCGCTAGCCTTGAGCTGAAGAGCTGAGGGACAGCGTCCAGGCCCAGAGTTCAGGCCCCACAACCGGACGCCCCCCCCCCAAAAAAAAGCCTTTGGTTCAACCCAGAATTAATAAATTCACAAATGATCCTTCCTGGTGGTTTGACTCAATGTTTTGTTTTTTTTTTTTGTCGGTCATGGGCTTGAACTCTGGGCCTGGGTGCTGTCCCTTAACTCTTCAGCTCCAAGCAAGTGCCACTTCCAGTTTTCTGAATGGTTTATTGGAGATTAGAGTCTGAAAGACTTTCCTGCTCCAGCTGGCTTTGAACTGTGATCCTCAGATCTCAGCTTCCTAAGTAGCTAGGATTACAGATGTGAGCCACTGGTGCCAGGCTCAATGAATTTTTTTAATAATCAATTTTATTTTATTAAAGCATAGTTTCCTTTGGGTAGAATTGAAGTTTTTATAATAATCTTCTCATTACAGTAACAGATTTTCTGTAGATAACAAAGAATTGTTTAGAGATTTAAATACTCATAGTAATTTTGTTGTTGTTGTTATTTGCAAAATTGCTTTAAATTGGGTACCAGTGGATCATACTTACCATGCTAGCTACTCAGGAGGCTCAGATCTGAGGATTGTAGTTTGAAGCCATCCTGGGTTTCAGGTCCATGAGATTTGTTTTCAGTTAACTAGCAAAACCCCAGAAATTGAATTGTGGCTCAAGTGGTAGAGTGCAGCCTTGGAGGAGGGAGAGGGTGAGGTTCTTGAGTTCAAGCCTCAATACTAGCAAAAAAAGAGAAATTAATCTTTTACTCATATTGTAGGGCAATTAAACATTCTTCCTTGTAAGGAAGAGTGGCTAAAATAGTGTAGTTACATGGAAAAGAAGCAGGCATTTACAAGGTGCATAAGTGCTGGGAGGTAGTACTGAATTTTGTCAAGGTGATGCCTGAGCAAGAATTTGAAAGATGATCTATTAGTATACGTGAATAGCTATAACTAAATATCACAATTGGGCTACTTAAACAACAAATTTATTTCTCACAGTGCTAGAGGCTGGAAGTTATATCACCATGCTAGCACAGTTGGGTTCTGGTGAAGGCTGTGCTTAAACAAGTTCTCATTTGCATTGCATCCCTATATAGCTATTAATCCTATTAGATTAGGTATTAGATTAGGGTCCCACCTTGATGACTTCATTTAACTTTTTTTTTGTCGGTCATGGGGCTTGAACTCTGGGCCTGGGTGCTGTCCCTACACTCTTCTGCTCCAGGCAAGTGCTCTACCACTTGAGCCACAGCACCACTTCCAGTTTTCTGGTTGTTTATTGGAGATAAGAGTCTCATGGTTTTCCTGCCCAGGCTGGCTTTGAACCTCAAATCCTCAGATCTCAGCCTCCTGAGTAGCTGGGGTTACAGGTGTGAGCCACTGGCACCCATGGTGCCCAGATTTCATTTAACTTTAATTACCTCTTAAAGACCCTGTTTTCAAGTACTTCACATTGGAGGTCAGAGCTTCAATAGCCTTCCCTTTCTGTCTGTTATCAGTGGAGTTTCTCTAGTAATAAACTATAGAAATGATCTCTGAAAGTATAGTCTTGAATGTTTTTGGAGTTTATAATGGTGTGAAAGTGTATAATGGTGTGAAAGTGTACCCATCCAATCATTCTGTTTTATACTGTCAGAATAGTATTCTGTAAATTACATGAGATAGTCACCACTTTATTATCCAATAGACTTTATTTATTTATTTATTTTTGGGTCCGGTTGTAGGGCCTGAACTCTGGGCCTGGGCACTGTCCCTCAGCTCTTCAGCTCAAGGCTAGC